AATCGAGCAAAGAGAAGGTACGCCTCAATGAGGATTAACGATTAAAGAGGTCAAATGAGGGGGGTGTTGGAGGGACAGACAATCAGTCATTGATATTTCTGCCTGTGGGCTTCAAAAGAACAGACAGGATTGGTAGAAAAGTGGCATTAGCTTCCAACAAAACTATAAATCACACTTACGGCAGTTTCCCAGGTAAATAAGCGGAATTGGTTGCTATAGATGATTCTGCTTCTCTGATGTGGGAGAAACCGAATCTCCAAGACTCGACGATAAAAGGATTTGATAAGATATTGCACATAACTATGTGCACGCGGATACGGAGTAATTAGTCAGCTATTCATCTGTATAGACTGGAAACCATCAACACGTGTAAGAAATGCTGTTTGATTTCTATCACCTTCATACTGTTTATCTATCTAGGTAGTGTCTCCATATAGAGAGGTTAACTGTGCCTATGGTTTAAGACTCGGGCACGCTATGAGAGAAGGCAAATACCGTCAGTAAACATGTAGCCCTCCCTTTCTCATATTTTTCAACCCCCAAGAAGAAGCACTCAAGAACTAAACAAATATACAGGGTTAATTTCTAGGGGCTGAATCTCCCTGTAAACCTTCACCCAAGAAGAGTGTGCTGTTTGATGCATAGGTAGGTAGTAATGTGGTGGAAACATGGTCTCAGTCAAAGACAGCAGACGGTGTGGCCCAGTGGTTCTGAATCGATCCGCTTATTTTATCTCATCTTTCAGAGCAGCCGCATTTGCTCTTGAAATAGGATTTGTTTAAGCAATCATTGAGAACTAGAACAGCAGCATTGTTGAACCTTTGGTGTGATTGAATCAGAAAATCTCCGAACCACGTGACGCACGATATCAAGTAGACCCGGCCTGAACCTTATTCAGGAATGGGGTTGCAAGTAAGATTACAGTAACTTTCAGGCGCTCTAGCCTAAGAAAAATCCTCACTTCTTCCTAGGTCGATTTTGGATACAGAAGAAACGCTGGATTGCCAGTCTGTAGTGGACTTGAAGCCATTATCGTCAAGTATTCCACATTTGAACTCACCGCTAATAGCAAGATAAGAAACACAGAGGAAAAAGAGGGGGAAAAATGACATCTCCAAACGACACATCATCCCCCGCAGCCGAAATCCCTCAGGTTGAACAGGAAGTGTATGAGGAGAAACATGTCCATGAAGTTTACCAGCAAATTGCGGATCACTTTTCTTCCACTCGATTCAAGGTATGTTTGTTCATTGTCTATGGTGTTATCTATACCATTTCCCAAGTTATAATTCCTTTCTTTTTTACTCATATCGTCGACAGCCATGGCCCATTGTCAAACAATTTCTCACCGATTTGGATCCCGGTGCTATTGGTCTAGATGTGGGCTGTGGGAATGGCAAGTATTTGCCTGTAAATAGAAACGTCTTTATAATTGCCTCGGATAGGTGAGTGCTATAATAACATGTTTTCTTATTTGATTTCCTCCCCCGGTTTTTTTTTTTTTTTTTTTTTTTTGCAATTGCCCCGCTTGTTCTCATGATTGACCGAATTGGCAGATCTGAAAATCTGGCACGTATTGCTGTAAAACACCAGCCGCATTCCACCATTGTGGCAGATATCCTTAATCTTCCTCATCCGGACTCTTTCTTTGACTTTGCAATTTCAATTGCCGTGATCCACCACCTGTCCACACCTGATCGCAGGGTCCAGGCGATTGGCGAAATCTTGCGCACTCTGAAGCCTGGCGTAAAAGGTCGCCCGGGAGGCAAAGCCTTGATCTACGTTTGGGCTCTCGAACAGAAGAGCAGTCGCAGAGGTTGGGACAAAGGTGATCAACAAGACATCATGGTCCCTTGGGTAATGAAGAATAGAGTCACAGAAAATGGTTCAAACGACCAGCAAAAAACATTTCATCGCTATTATCATCTCTATGAAGAAACGGAGCTGGAGCGAGACATAAGCAGGGCCGGGGGACATGTTCTGAAATCAGGGTATGAAAAAGACAATTGGTGGGCAATTGCGACACGAATAGATGAATGAACACCATGGCACATGGACATAGCGTGTGCTCCGAGATCCAGCCTCGAAGTCTTTTCTTTTCTTTTCTGTCATTCATATATGGCATGACAGGGAGACAGAACAAAAGAAATATCGTCAACTTGCTTCCATCATTCACACAAAGGCATTTTCCAAAATGAACCAAGAAAAGATAAACAGAGAAAGGAAATAAACAATTGAAGGAAATTCATCTATGAAAGGGAAAAGAAGAAAAGAAGTCTCTCCCCACAAATCAAGGTATACCTCCCACCAGCGCTATGCAATTCGTAACAACGCAAACAAAAGACATATAGTCGTTCCCCTTGGCCCTATGGAAGGGTTCGAGGTGGGAGGCCGATATGAGGGCCCAAGTGACCACTCTGGCTGGCACTCAAATCCAAGGGTCGGCCTATCCGGTAGGCATCTCGGGGTGGTGGAATAAAAGGCGGCACTGGTGCATACGCCGGTACTCCAGCTGTGAGCTCTTCGACCGAAGGGAGTTGGGGAGGAGGAATGGTGCGCGATGCGGATCCTTTTCTTGGCCGAGAAAGAGATGTACTGGCCCGGCGTCTGGGCGCTGGAGGGTCGATGGCTGTGCTTGAAAGAGAGAAAGGAACTACACCCGCTCGACGGGCCATTTCTTGCTCTCCTAGTTGCCAATGCATGGCCTCTGCAGCTCGCCATGGAATCGCCATTTCCTCTGCTACCTTTGACCACATTTCTGCTTTGAACCTGTACAAATAAATTCGAGTTAGCAAGATGTAATCGCATTATGTTTTCATCCCTGGTAATTTCTGGGGGGAGGGGGTGTTCCTCTTCTTTTTGATTAGTTCCCCCCTTCCCAAACCTCCAAACACAACGTACCTCTCGTATAATCTTGCGAGCTTATTCTTCTTGTCTTCATCCCACTCACTTCTGCGCTCGAGATAGTTTTGGTAATGGAGGCGACAGCTGATAGCACTTCGTCCAGGAAGTCGTTTGCTGATATCCTCCCATTTCATCCCACTACCCCGCAGCTCGATAATCAACGCATCTTCCTCTGGAGACCACTTTGACTGCTTCTTAGCCGGAGATTCGGTCGTGTGGGCCGGTTGAAGGCGCTTGGCTGGGATTGAGGCCGAGGCTTTAGCGGTGAGGGGAGGCACCGAGGCCATGGGGGTTGGCGCTGCTACAGCCATCGGAGGGACAGTTGTGGCTGGAAGAACCGTCCTTGACGAAAAGGCGGGCGCCGTGGTTCCCCGGGGGGCTTCCTCCTCATCTTGGGGTTTCAGTAGCAGTGAGATATCCACTTTGGCGGGGGGTAAGATGGGTCGGTTTTGTAAGGCGATCATATGCGCGATTCGCAACGAAGTTTCTTCGTTCTCGAGGAAAGGTTATAAATGATGAGAGCCCAAGAAAGCGTATCGAATTGAAAGGAAAAGGGAGGGACAGATAAAAAAAAAGAAAAGAAAGAAAATAAAATAAAAGACGTATGCTGTCGTGATCCTGGATGTAGCCGTAGAGGTTCTCGTGATCAAACAGTTTGCTCGAAATAAAAATTAAGAGAGAAATAGCAAAAGTCCACCCGGAAAGTGAAACGACAAGGCCTGTTGGGTTCTTCGGTTTTGTTTTGTTTTGTTTTGGGGGTTTTTTTTTTATTTATTTATTTTCCAGACCCAATGATACGACGCTAAGTGACTTGTATCCCAACTGTGTGTGTGGCTGGCTGGTAGGTAGGAGGCCTCTCGACGACACTACCTAGACACTGGGAGGTTATATGCACAACCACCGAGATAGTTTGGTATTGGGACAAGAAACTGATGACCAGCAGATCCTGGGTAAAATGAAAGGATGATATAATAGCGAAGAGAGAAAGAGAGAAGAAGGACCAGAAGGGGAAAAAGCAAAGATAGAAAGGAAAAAGAAAAATAGCAAGAAGCTTATCACAAAATGTGGGCTTAACTGATGACACAGTATGATAGCGTGAAGTTCAGAAGAAGAGGAGGATCAGATGATAGATATTTGATATGGGAGCTTGTTGGAGGAGAAGCACCGGGAGTTAAAGAAGATGAATCAGAAGAATCGAGACCCTAGAGTGGAAAAGGGAAAAAGGGAAATAGGAGGGCGAGATAGAAGATGAAACAACTTTAGATACATAGGAAGAGATCATCGGCATTGACAGCTGATTCAATAGTGGGCAGCAAATGAAAGTCTCAGAACTAGTAATATAATAATATAATATGGGGAAAGGAAGCAGCCACTGCAGGAAAATAAAAGAGGGAGAGAGAGAGAGAGAGAGAGAGAAAATAAAAATAAAATAATTTAATAATTTAAAAGAAAATGAAAGGAAAAA